GGGCGAGAGAGAGAGAGAGGACGAGAGAGAGAGAGAGAGGACGAGAGAGAGAGAGAGAGAGGACGAGAGAGAGAGAGAGAGGACGAGAGAGAGAGAGAGAGAGGACGAGAAAACGGGAAAAAGAGCGGGAACGGGAACGGGAACGGGAACGGACCCCTGGGGCGTTCATTTGTTTTACGGTTCCCCCCCCTGAGGTTCCCTTGTAAAAAAACCTTAGGCGGTGACATTTTTTGTTCTAACATAGCACTTTTTCGCGAATCCCTTGCAACAAATGGGACGAAGTGCACACGCGCGCGTCGTCGCGCGCGCATGCCGAAATCCTTCAACAACCTTCGTTGCTGGAAGGATTTCGCAATCGAGCTTCCCAGAAACATACAAAAACACTCGGTTTCGCAACATTGATTTGCTAAAAAAGCTTACGCGCGAGCTCTTGCGAAATCTTAAGAAAACCATAGGTTTTTCAAGATTTTCACAACATGCTACCAAACGGGCGTCGCGCGCGCGCATGTCGAAATCTGTCGAACGGCCTTGCGCGCGTGCCGTCGCGAGAATCCCCTGCAAAAAATTAGACGAAGTGCAGACGCGCGCATCGTCGCGCGCGTATGCCGAAATCCTTCAAAACCCATCGGTTTCGGAAGGATTTCAAAATCGTGTGTCCACAAAACCTACAAAAACACAAGATTTCGCAACACGGATTTTCAACAAAAGCGTGCGCGCGCGCTCTTGCGTCGTCGCCGTCGTCGTCGTCGTCGTCGTTGTCGTCGTCGCCGTCCTCCCTCCTCCCGCGTCGTCGTCGTCGTCGTCGCCTACGTCGTCCTCTGTCTTTCCTCGTGTTCGTCGTCGTCGTCCTCTTTGGCGTCGTGGTCGTTTCCGTCGTCGTTGTCGCCGTGGTCGTCCTTCCTCCTCCTCCCTCGTCGTCGTTGTCGTCGTCGTCGTCGGCGGCGTCTCGTCGTCGTCCCTCCTATTTCGTCGCCGTCGTCGTCGTCGTCGTCGTCGTCGTCGTCTTCCCTCCTCCCTCGTCGTTGTCGTCGTTGGCGTCGCCGTCCTCCCTCCTTCTTCGTCGTTCGCGTCGTCGCCGTCCTCCCTCCTCCCTCGTCGTTGTCGTCGTTGTCGCCGTCGTCGTGCTCCCTCCTCACTCGTCGTCGTCGTGGTCTTCGTTGGCGACGTCGTCGTCGTCGTCGGCGTCGGCGTCGGCATCGGCGTCGTCGTCGTCGTCGACGTCGGCGTCGTCGTCGTCGCCGCCGTCGTAGTCGTCGTCGTCGACGTCGTCGTCGTCGGCGTCGTCGTCGTCGTCGGCCTCGTCGTCGTCGTCGTCGGCGTCGTCATCGTCGTCGTCATTGTCGTCGTCGGTGTCGGCGTCGTCGTCGTCGGTGTCGTCGACGTCGTCGTTGTCGTCGTCGTCGAAGTCGTCGGAGCCGTCGTCGGTGTCGTCGTAGTCGTCATTGGCATTGTCGTCGTCGTCGGCGCCGGTGTCGTTGCCAAGTGCCATTTGGAACCTACCGTCACGGTCTTAAGAGGTTTTGCGAACCAAGTTGCGGGTGGGCGGGTGGGATGTTTGCAAGAGCATGAGATGTGTCACATCATGGGTAAAAATCAATTCTCCTTTCTGAGAACATAATAGGATCTAACCCCTCCCCCCCCGGCGTGATCGGTCCCCGTTTCCGGATATGTAAATCACATATGCTTCTGACCACATGTCCATCCTAAATGTCAATTTACACTATCCCAAGGGGGGCCGGTATCCCCCCCCCCTGAGGTTCCCCTTGTTAAAAACACTATGCGATGACATTTGTTGTTCTAACATAGCATTTTTTCGCGAACCCCTTGCAAAAAAAAGCCGAAGTGCACACGCGCGCGCCGTCGCGCGCGCGTGTGCATCCTTCAAAAACCTTCGGTGCCCGAAAGATTCTGCAATCGAGTTTCCAAAAAACATCTAAAACACACAGGGTTTCGCAACACTGATTTGCTAAAAAAGCTTCCGCGCGAGCTCTTGCGAAATCTTAAGAAAAAACCATTGGTTTTGCAAGATTTTCATAACAAGCTATTAAACGGGCGTCGCGCGCGCATGTCGAAATCTGTCGAACGCCCTTGCGCGTGTGCCGTCGCGGGAATCCCCTGCAAAAAACGGGACGAGGTGCAAACGCGCGCGTCGTCGCGCGCGTTTGCCGAAAACCTTCAAAACCCATCGGTTTCGGAAGGAATTCAAAATCGTGTCTCCAACAAAGCTACAAAAACACAAGGTTTCGCAACACGGATTTTCAACAAAACGTGCGCGCGCGCTCTTGCGTCGTCGTCGTCGTCGTCCTGCCTCTTCCCTCGTCGTCGTCGTCGTCGTCGACGCCGTCGTCTTCTGTCTTTCCTCGTCGTCGTTGTCGTCGTCGTCGTCGTAGTCTTGGCGTCGTCGTCGCTTCCGTCGTCGTTGTCGCCGTGGTCGTCTTTCCCTCGTCGTCTTCATCGGCGTTTCGTCGTTGTCCCTCCTATTTCGTCGCCGTCGTCGTCGTCGTCGTCGTCGTCGTCGTCTTCACTCCTCCCTCGTCGTTATCCTTCTCCCTCGTCGTCGTCGTCGTCCGTCGTCGGCGTCTCGTCGTCGTCCCTCCTATTTCGTCGCCGTCGTCGTCGTCGTCGTCTTCGTCGTCGTTGTCGTCGTCGTCGTCGTCTTCCCTCCTCCCTCGTCGTTGTCGTCGTCGGCGTCACCGTCCTTCCTCGTTCTTCGCCGTTCGCGTCGTCGCCGTCTTCCCTCATCCATCGTCGTTGTCGTCGTTGTCGCCGTCGTCGTCCTTCCTCCTCCCTCGTCGTCGTCTTCGTTGGCGACGTCGTCGTCGTCTTCGTCGTCGTCGTCGGCGTCGGCGTCGTCGTCGTCTTCGTCGACGTCGACGTCGGCGGTGTCGTCGTAGTCGGTGTCGGCGGCGCCGTCGTCGTCGTTGTCGCTGTCGTCGTCGGCGTCGGTGTCGTGGCCAAGTGCCATGTGGTACCTACCGTCACGGACTTGTCTTAAGAAGTCTTGCGACCAAGTTGCGGGTGGGTGGGTGGGATGTTTGCGCGAGCAGTGGAGGTGGTCAGGCGCGGTGCAGGGTAGTCAATTCTCCTTTCTAAAAAGAATAGACTCTACCCCCCCCCCGGACTTATCGGTTCCCCCTGGGATACTATGATTTCATATATATGTTGCACACTCGTCCATCCTAAATATGAAATCGTACCATCCCAGCTAGGCCGGTTTCCCCCCCCTGAGTTTTTTTATAAAAAACTATGCGGTGACATTTTTTGGTTCTAGAATAACACTTTTCCGCGAATCCCTTGCAACAAATGAGACGAAGTGCACACGCGCGCGTCGTCGCGCGCGCATGCCGAAATCCTTCAAAAACCTTCGGTGCGGGAAGGATGTCGCAATCGAATGTCCAAAAAGCATACAAAAAACACAGGGTTTCGCAACACAGAGTTGCTAAAAAAGCTTCCTCGGAAGCTCTTGCGAAATCTTAAGAAAACTATATGTTTTGTTTTCAAGATTTTCACCAAATGCTACCATACGGGCTTCGCGCGCGCTCATGTCGAAATCTGACGAACACCCTTGCGCGTGTGCCGTCGCGAGAATCCCCAACAAAACATAGGACGAAGTACAGACGCGCGCGGTGTCGCGCGCGTAGGCCGAAAACCTTCAAAACCCATCGGTTTCGGAAGGATTCCAAAATCGCGTGTTCCAAAATATCTACAAAACACAAAAGGCTTCGCAACACGGATTTTCAACAAAAGCGTGCGCGCGCGCTCTTGCGTCGTCGTCGTCGTCGTCGTCGTCGCCGTCCTCCCTCCTCCCGCGTCGTTGTCGTCGTCGTCGTCGCCTACGTCGTCCTCTGTCTTTCCTCGTGTTCGTCGTCGTCGTCCTCTTGGCGTCGTGGTCGTTTCCGTCGTCGTTGTCGCCGTGGTCGTCCTTCCTCCTCCTCCCTCGTCGTCGTCGTCGTCCGTCGTCGGCGTCTCGTCGTCGTCCCTTCTATTTCGTCGCCGTCGTCGTCGTCGTCGTCGTCGTCGTTGTCGTCGTCGTCGTCGTCGTCGTCTTCCCTCCTCCCTCGTCGTTGCCGTCGTCGGCGTCGCCGTCCTTCCTCCTTCTTCGTCGTTCGCGTCGTCGCCGTCCTCCCTCCTCCCTCGTCGTTGTCGTCGTTGTCGCCGTCGTCGTCCTCCCTCTTTCCTCGTTGTCTTCGTTGGCGACGTCGTCGCCGTCTTCGTCGTCGTCGTCGGCGTCGGCGTCGTTGTCGTCTTCGTCGTCGTCGACGTCGGCGTCGTCGTCGGCGCCGTCGTCGTCGTCGCTGTCGTCGTCGTCGTCGGCGTCGTTGACGTCGAGGTCGGCGGTGTCGTCGTAGTCGTTGTCGGCGGCGTCGTCATCATCGTTGTTGCTGTCGTCGTCGGCGTCGCTGTTGTTGCCAAGTGCCATGTGGTACCCACCGTTACGGTCTTGTCTTAAGAGGTCTTGCGACCAAGTTGCGGGTGGGAGGGTGGGATGTTTGCACGAGCAGTGGAGAGGACAGCTTCAAGACGGTCAAAGTGAATTACACCACATAGATTGCACCACGCTGGCGAACACATATCCAGACTGACAAAGAAAGAGAAAGAGAGACTGACAGAGGCAGAGACACATAAGAACGAAGGAGAGAGACAGAGAGAGGAACGACCAAAAGAGAGAGATCCCCGCGCGCGCGTACGCTCCCGCTAGCGCGCTAGCGCTGGAGGATGGCACAGGCAGAATGACGGGGCCAGCCTCCTAAGAGGATCAAGGGGGCCTCTTTGAAGGGCAACGCCATGTATGCTCAGCGCAACATCCTCGTCCCTCTGCGGACCGCCACCCCTCATCCGTGCAATCGTCCTCCTCCACCTCTTTCTCCTTCCTGACATACTCCTTCGCCTCGTACTCGTCCCCCTCCTCCGCTCGTCTTTTCCCCCTCGCCTCCCCTCTCCTGCTTCTCCTCAACGGAGAGACGACCAGGTCAGGTCGTTCCAGCTGAAGAAGCGCTCTCCTGGATCGCGGCCGCGGCCAACGACGCAACCGAGGCGTCGCCGGTGTCCAGGGCCCGTCTTCCTCGGGCGAACAAGAAGGATGAGGGAGGAGGGAGGTTGGCGGCGGAGGAGGAAGCGCCGATCGAACGACTCCGCCGAGGAAACGAGGGAGCCGCGAGATGCAAGAGGGATCCGCTAACGTCCCAGACAAAGGGAACAACCAGAGCCGTGAGCCTCCTCCTGCCCCGAGCCCCGCAATAAAAGGGCGGAAGTGCGCGGAACTCAGGGTATGCGCGCCCTGGACGGTGCCAGTGCACCGCGCGGGCTGGCAAACTTGCAAGCAGGTGCGGGGCCACGACAGAGCAGGTACTGAGAAGTCAGGAGGCACCCCCTAGGAGGTCATCGGACAAATTGAAATATATCCAACCGAATTGAAAAAAAACATTGGCCCAGACCACTCCAGATTAAACCAAAGATTTAAGACCGAGTCAGCGGACTTAAGCGGGACTAAGCGGGAATAAGCGCGGTTAGGACGGATCAGGCCAGGTTCCGACCACGGATCTTCCGGCGCCGACGCTCAGAGCGAGCTGAGCACCGAGCAGGCGCATGGCAAGGCGTGAGAGAGACGCAGTGGTGACACCATCGAAGCTCGCTTCTGTAAAACGTCGGCATGAGGGAGCAAAGTATCGAAGACGCGTTGTCGGTCAACCTGGCGCGTCCTGGGGCTGCCCGCGCTGCTCTGTGAGGCCAGCGAGGTCTACAGTGAGGCTAGTTAGCTTCGGGGCAGCAGGATTGGCATACAGGGTACCAGGCTGGACGTCCTCAACACATTCAGGTGCCGGCAGCAAGTCCCCGCCATCAGCAGCACGTGACGCTACAGCCTTGGCCTTGCACCTCACCTTCTTAACAGCCTCCGTGTTGGCGGGAGCGAACCGCTGCGCCATGCCCGAATCGACGTCGGACTTCTTGGCCTCCCACGCGGCGGGCAGAAGAATCTCCGCCATCCAATCGGCATGCCTGGCGCTGCCGCACACGACCCGTGGACCCGACCCTGCCAAAACCACATTGCTGAAGGCGGGCTCAGACGGTGGTACCATGTCTGGCTCGACGTCGGACTCCGTGGGCTCCCGCTCGGCGGGCACGAGCGTCTCCGCCACGGAGGAAGTCTGCTGGTCGGACTCCACCACAGCTGCGGGAAGCGCAGCGTCTGCCGCGTGGCTACTGAACCCCCAACAGCGTCATCGCACATCACCTTCAGGTCCGACTCGGCCTTCGACATGACGTGCTCGGTGCACAGTGCGAGCGAAAAGTGGGGGCCGTCCGAGGCAACATCGACCTCGCTGGCCTCCTCGCGCAGCCCTACGCTGTTCACCATTCCCTGGGCCCCGGTGCTGGACGTGTTCATGTCCCCTGAGCGGGCGCCTCCTTCCGACGACGAAACTTAGGGAAGCAAGACACCTAACATCCAGCACAGCGGCATGCGCTGCCGAACTGCGGGCCTTGCCCATGCGCGGCAGTCTCGCAGCCAGTGGCTGGGCGCCAGCTGTTGCGAACAAGCGCCCTTGGCCTGCGAGAGCGTCGACTCCTCGGGTGGGACCACCGCCGCTGAATAGCGACCAAGACATGAGCAAAGACCGACTGTCCCGACATTCCTACAGGCACGGTGACTGTTCTAACAAGCACAACGTTCTCAGAACATGAAGCCGATGTATTACAACAAAACGGTCTCAGCCAGACATGATATGAGCACATGCCGCGCAAAAGACGCAAGCTTCTTAGAACTTGGTGGCGGCTGGGGGATCTGAAACCCCAGAAAGTCGGCCAGGAGGGGTGGACGAAAAGAGATCCGTTCACAATCGGTCCCCACACCTCCCGGGGTCCATCTGGTGCAGTTTTCCACGGTCCCTGGGCTCGAAAACGGAGCTGGAGGCCGAAAAAGGCGAAACACCTTCCCGAACCCAACGCCTCGAACCTGTCCGCTTTCCCTGCTGGCCAGAACCGGTGCTGGGCCAACTCAGACCCACAAACGGCTCAATTTTTGGTGGGTCTACCAGGGATCCAGGACGCCTCGTCCGGCTGCGCGCAAGAAAGACCTTTGGTGCGCGACTTTCCGAGACCGTGGGGAGGCCAAGCCCAGGCGCGCAAGACGCTGCCCTCGAAACGCGCTCGGTCATCTGAGGGGGCCGGTGTGCCCGCACCACAGGTCACTCCGGCGGACTCGCCGACTGCTTGATGAGAACGACAACTATCGTGTCGGGAAGCAGGAAGTAGGAAAATGTACGGCACCACAGTGTAATAAACACACTCAACATACGCGATAATACGGATGATCGGATGATAATACGGATAAACATCCTCCCAAACCGGTTATTATCATTCGAAACAGAAAGAGGAGGAGCGCTGCGTGAGCAAAAGCTTCCGGAAGTCCGCGCGGATGTCTGAGATCGGCGTGGACAGCGCTAAGGGCAGCGCCAGCGGCGCCGCCAGGGGAGCCCCATCGCCAGCCCAAGACAACTCCGCGCGGATCTCCGAGAGCCCATGACTGTTGGCGGCGCGCACAACAGGGGTTGGGTGAGGGGGGAAAGCTTTCTAGAAGGGGGCTGCCTCTTAGAAGGCGCCCGCCTTACATCTACACATAAGGCCCGCGCCTTCTAAGAAGCAGGAGTGCTTCTAAGAAGCCTTCCCCCCTCTCCTGACCCCCCTCTGCGCGTGGCTTCAACTGCGCGGTGTTCCGGCCGTCTTTCTGGTTTGGGGCGACGCACACAGTCTCACCATGTTGGGGCGACGCCGATCTCAGGGTATGTTCGCAGGTCGTGAGTGTACATGTCGCGGCTGCGCGCACAGCGGGGTCAGGGGGAGGGGGGTACACATTTTGGAAGGAAGCTGCTTCTCAGAAAGCGCCGGCCCTACATCTACAGATGTAGGGCCCACCCGGCGCTTTCTAAGGAACCGTCCCCGCTCCCCCAACCCCTTGTGCGCGCCGCCAGCTCTCAGCAGGAACGCGTTTTTGCTCTATCTGGGTAGAATCCCAGGTGAGGGCAGAGTTTCCCGCATGACGGCTCGATTAACTATGAGAATTGCTGGCTTCCCAACCGGTGGGGAGGCGGTCCCACCATGCTAAAACAGGCCGACATGGAAGAGAAGGAGGGGGGGAGAGACAGAGGGAGAAGCGAGCAGCGAGATGCCTAACGCGACAGACCAGCGGCTGGCACGAGACAAGAACTGTAAAAGCAAACTCGGCCAGACAGCACATTCTTACCTAAATTCTGGCCAAGGCATGATTCGCTTTGTTCTTACGCAGAGAACGTCTGCTACTATCTGGCTGGGTCACGACACAACTTGGGCACGAAGGAAGGTCGATTACCTTCGAGCTCTGGTTGAAGTCCTGCAGAACAGCGAAAGCGAAGCGGGCTGGGAACTGGGTGGGTGCCTTTCAGCTTGGGCCCCGATGTTTACGAGAACCCAGCGGCCTCAGAGCGACGCAAAGAAGAGACGACACCCGCAAAACTGGCAATTCATTCGCGCGCGCACTGCCATGATTAGCGTTGTTTTTACGCGGAGGACGTTTGCTACTATCTGGTTGGGTCACGACACAGCTTGGGCACGAAGGAAGGTCGATTGTCTTCAAGACCTGGTCACAATCCCAAATCCAAATTCAGAAGGGCTCACATCGAGCGGGCGAAACAACGGGGAGGGAGGGAGCGAGACAGACGAGGCGCCGACAGGCGCCAAACCTAGGCAAAAACACACAACATTTGAAAGGCAGAGGTACGAACACGGCCCCCGGCGTTAAAGGTTGATACGGCGAGTTTCTTACAAACAAGCATGTTGGCGAGAGCCCCGGCAAGACGTGACGGGTATGGCTGAGCAAAACGTTTTAAAACTTACGACCGCTCAACTCCTGATGTCGGCGGTGGATGCGAAAGCACAGACCTCGGTACGTCGAACAGCACCGTCCCAAAGAGAAGCTGTCGCCGTCGTCCATGTGGCCACACACAAATCATGTCTGTTTCCGCCACGGTGTGCCCCACTGACAAAAATCACTTCTGCGCCAACCCGCTGCCGCTTAATGGCGCAGGCGTATGATCTCAGGTATATGTCACAAGCGTGAGGTGTGCGGATTCTCGAGTATCCATGAAACCTTGTATCTATTCAAATAACGAAGAACATGTATGCCCACACGAATCAACTGGTTGCCTTTGGCTAGGGACTCTCGATCACGTTCTGAAGCATCAGTGAGATCGGTACCCCATGGCTGGTCTCACAAACGAATCTGGAAAGTTCTATCTCTTGCGGTGGTAAGGGAGGCACACGGCAAAGCAATCATCGCAGCCAACACCTTCCCATCTCTGATACCTGACACAAGATCACGCAACACTCGCTCATCTGTGAGATCGTGATCGGAGCTACGAAGGATATCCCAGGCACGGGCAGTAAAGCCCATCTTGACAACGCGGCCTCCCACTTTGCCGCGCCCGGAGAAAACGTCTCCTGCATCTGTTCCATCACTGATCACCTTCCGAAGCTTGGCGGCAGCAGGGCGCGGTCGGGCGAACACAGGTACTCGGCGAGCGGCCGTTCGCGCCTGCGCATGTGCTCCTGCGTGGTTGGCGGCAGATTGTTTCAGAAACTCCCGAGCCTGGCAGACTTCTCGTGCCGCGTGAAGCTCTTCCAGCTCCGCCAGCGGCCCCGCTTTTGGCACTACTCCTGGGCCCCCGCGGGCTTCAGGCGGTCGATCGACGGGCCCGAGTGTTGCGTCGGGTACGGGACCAGGTTGGGGGGGCCCGAAACCCTGGCTACTGTCTTGAGCTCCGCCAAGAAGGTCAAATTCTCGACGGACCAGAATCGGCCGCTGTTCAGCTTCAAGGCCTGGAGGTAGTCGTTGACCCAAGGCAGCATGTAAAAGGTGTCAATCGCCAGGGAATCGTCGGCGTCGCCTGTCTTGCTCCTCTGGGTACCTCCGAAGGATGCAAAAGGAGGTCCCAGCGCCGCGAGACCGGTGAGGCTGGCGCTATGAGGTTCGACGACTCGAGGTTCAGCAGCTCGGATGGTCTCAGATAGCAGCTCACCCCTATCATCACAGCAAGGCCCATGGGTAACATGTCGCGCATGGCGAACTCCACGGCGAGGGCGCACCACGCAGGCAACGGCGCGGGCTTGCGAGACCTCGACGGCGCCATGCGCCTCCATCCTTTTAGGCATCTCCAGGCGCGGGGCACCTTGCGGAGGCCGACGCGTGAATACATTGGGGCCCGCGTCATGAATGCGGCCAGGAGCTTCTCGCCACGGGAGGCCTGCTCCCCCTTGAAGAACAGCTGGTTCATGTTGAGGACGAGCGCCGATTCCATCTCCGACGGAGCGCGGGTCGGCAGCTCCTCCGCGCGGGCGTAGTCCACGAAGCGCTGCAGCTCGTTCGCGCACTGCTTATGGGTCCTCACGCTGACCGCTATCTCTTCGAGCACCGACGACTGGGCGGGTGGCGACTCAGCAAGCGCCAGATACTTGGGGGCGCGTCACTGAGCCCGCGGGGTGCGCTGCCTGCGGCCCGAACGACCTGCTGGCGCAGCTGCCTCCAGCTCGTCGCCCGAAATAATGGCATCGCTGTCCGCGGCGGCGGCCTTGGCAGTGGCAGCGGCCGTGACAGCTGCTGCGGCCCATGCGGGCTCGGTGGCCACCAGGGCCTCCAGGCGCTGTTCCCTCGGCGGCGGGGTGGGGCATCGTAGTCTCGACGCCGCTGGAGGCACTGTCAAACTGCGCCTGCTCGTCGCCACTTGGGCGCTCGCGGGCTGGGACGAGGTCGCTCTCTCGCTCGGAGCAAGCTGCGACGAGCGGGGTCGCGTCGGCGCAGGGGAACGGCCGCATTCCGCTGTCAGAGTACGGGTTCGCTTCGTTGGCGCCGATGGCAAGATCAAGGTCGAGCCGATCAACGGCGGTGTCGGGGTCCACCTCTTGAGCCGAGGTGCCTTCGGGTATAACGCGATCCGCGGGCCGACGTTGACCGACGAGGCGCGTGAGGTCCTTCTTGGGGTCGTAATTAGGGTCGTAAATCCGTGAGCCCGCATCGCCACCGTTGAGCTCGGAGGGATGCCAACAGAACCCGAAGCGGACCCCGCGGGCCATTGCATAGGCCGCCACACGCCTGATCTGCACCAGAAGCCCGAAACTGCAAGCACGGTATCTTTCGCGCGCTCGTATCGCAGGCGCATGACCTCCCAATCGCTACACTCTGCAGAATCCACCAGGGACGCAAGCACAAACTCTCGCGACAGCTTTGTCCAAGACACGAGTCCCCAAGGTGAGGATATCCTCGAGAAAACCATTTACTGTGTAAGATAAGACGCCACAGGTCCGCATGGAGAAGGGGCCCACGTTTCT